TCTTACTCCATCTTTTTCCATTCTCACCTGGAGCATAGGGTCTCTTAGCTTTAGTAAACTTCACTAGGGCCCAGCAGGTGGCGTGGTGGTTTGGGGCGTTGGACTCCCACGTGGCCGACTGCGGTTCAAGTCTCAGACCTGGCGGCTTGCTTTCTTGCTTTGTCTCTCTCTCTGTCCCTCTCTGGTCAAATTAATGTAAGTAAGTAAACAAATAAAGAAAAAAAAAAAAAACTTCATTACAGGCCAGCAGATGGTGTCAAGAGTAAGGCAGTGGATCCCACATGGCCAAGTGTAGTTCGAGTAGGGAACCCAGAGCTTGAGGATCGTGCCAGGGGTGTGTGGGTTGCCTTATCTCCAGAGAAGGAATTGTGGTTGGTATGGTCATCCCCCCTGGGGGGCGGTGACTTCTCATATTCACTTTTTCGCTAACTCCAGCAAGCATCTGTGCCCTATAGCAAAAAACAAAAACACTTAATTATGCCACGACCGGAATATTACTAGTAAAAGCTGACATTTGGTCATGCATGTGCTCCACTCTAAAGGATCTCGAATTCAAGGCATAGCAGGACTTGCTGACTGGGATTCAGGTAGCAATCTACAGTGGGGTTTGTCCCTCAATAGGACAAAACCAGGGCTGGGGGTTCAGAGGGGCAAAGAGGACTGAAGTACAGGGAGGCCCCTGGCAACCTTGAAAGGCGAGCCAGGCTCTGACGTGAAAACGCAACGAGGGTGAACACTGAAGGAAGTGCCTGCAAGGTCCTCTGCTCTCCCGGGTCCTTTGCTGAGCTCTCTCCAGGAGTGGACTGAGGGAGACATGGGGGCGGGTACAAGGTAAAAGGCAGTCACTACTTTACTGAGACAAACACAAAGGCAGTTTGTTTCAGCCAAGTACTCCACACTGACCTCGACGAAGACTTTCCAGTTATGTCCCCGTTTACTGATCACAATGTAATGAACTGCTCTGGTGGACTCCTAGTTCTCGGCCTGGATTACCCTATGACTGCGGAGGGGTGGCTGGTACCTGCTTGGCTTTGTTTGTATGCTAGAGGGTGGACACATGCGAGAATCACACACACATGCTCAGCGAAGCCTGGTCATGTCACAGCTCCTTTTTCTCCAATTCTCCACCTCATCAGGATCCTGGGCACGCTGGAGCCAGGACTCAAACCTTGGTCACCATGTGGGATCCGGCCTTGTCAGTGTATACCTGCTGTGCCACAGGGGCTGCCCAGCATCCCTCTGCGAAGTCACGGACATTATCTTTGGGTTCCACAGGAACCAACTTGCTCAACAGCCGCCCGGGCAAGCAGATCCTGCAGTGCAGGACACAGCAGCAAGGCCATGCCTGGGGCAGGCTTGGTTGCAGGAAATTCCCTTCTATAGGCTGCTGTGACTATCCCCCAAGCCACTCAAGAGGGCACAAGTCCTGGGGTATCCATGGAGTCTGCATTCTCTCCAGACAGTGCAGACAGTAATCCCGACACCGTCAGAGCCGTGACTCACCTTCCCTGGATGAGGGCGTGTACCACTGAGAAAAGCTGGCAGCAGCCACCAGGCTGCCCTCACCGAGCACCGTCCTCCCCCACTCTGTCCCTCCCTCATGCCCACTCTCTGATTCACTCTCTACCTCACTCTGCTGGTCACACACCCTGTGTGTGAGGGTGTTCACATTGCTTGAGGTGTCACTTCAGGTGTGCTTGTCGATTTGTGTAGGAATGAGAACAAGGCGCTGTGTGTAACACAAGTTACACATACAGGCTCAGCCGTCTCAGACTTCCAGCCAGCAAGGGCCCCAGTCAGTGCCATGCACAGGGGCCCTGGGAAGCCCCTTAACAACTGTAGTCCCGCAAGACTTCGTGAAAAAACTAACATGAAGTTCAAAAGTAGCCACTACCGGGCTGGCCCCAGGGCCTGATGGTTAGGGAGCTGGATCCCATACGGCCCACCAAGCAGTCTGAGTCCCAGCCCTGGCAGTCTGAAAAACATGCCAGGCGATTTGCCTGCACGGTCAAAATCCCTACAGGCGGTGAAACGGACAAAGGACTGCAGTGTAACTGCGACCCACTGGGGAGGCACTCTCTCCGTCTCTCTCTCTGCTAAGCACATGCACCCTCTGGGAAAGTGAAGCAAAGAAAGAAACCACTACGAAACTGTTTTTTCATTATAAAAGTTTTATCAAGGGAATAATTTGAGTTTTTGGAGATGTGGTTTAGCAAAATAAAAGATGATTAAAAACCAGTATAACACTTAAAAAAATTTAACCTACCAAGTGGAACCTAAATTAAATAAATCCTCTATTACCTTAGAAAAGAGATTGTTTTCTTACGTCAGAAAAATTGATCTCAAGTTACACTCTTACCTCTCCTGGATTGTAAGTCTACACCTCCCAGCGGCGGCTCTGGAGTCCAGAGACAACAGCCATGTTGGGATAGCCCAACATGGGCCAGATGCAGACTCTGAACTGAAAGCAGAGCCTGTGATATGTAGAACATAGAATTCATCGTCCGACCAGGACAGCTGGGAGTGAAACAGGCTGCTGCCAATTACTTAAGAACAAAAGGCATAAAACAAAGCTATCCGGCCACCCTGGTGACGAGGCAGTTTGGGACTCTGTTTTCCAGTATGCCTCTTGACAGTCAAAAAGCTTGACTGCTACGAAGCACCCTGGGGCCAGAGGCTAGCACCACTACAGAGGTACACGGTATAGGCGGCCTTCCAGCTGTAGGACACTTAACCAGACACAGGACACAATAGCTCAGGTGCAATTTCAGTGGATATTAGAGCTGGGCAGAGCCTCTCTCCCCCTAGCAATTGGAGCTTCCACAAGTGTGGAGCTGGCTGAGCCATCCACTGGTCCACTGCCTGCTTCTCCCGGGAGCCGCCTCTGCCTTCCCGTATCACCAGAGTCCTTATCACTGCTGCTAGTCTTTCGGGGGATTCTGGGCCAGGTGCTGTTCCCATTCCACTTCAACCAACTTGTACAGCTCCATAGTGGCCTGGGCGTCTTCCACAGAGGAATGTCCACTTTTGCCAGTCTAAGTAAGGGGGAGAGAGGAGAGGAGGAGGCTGTGAGACTAGGTGTCACGTAGATGTGCTCGCTGATCTGGTGTCAGGGCAAGAATGACGCACCGTATGTACAACCAGAGTTACAAGGCAAGGCTTCCCTTCCGATGGACACTGCACCGCCCCTATACAGTTTCTTTTGTAGTTAGTGGGTTGCTAGAAAGCCTTAACTCTGTGGGGCCAGCAGGCAGTGTGGCAGTTAAGGCGCTGGGTCCCACACGGCAACTTGAGAATCACACTGGGCGCATGCGTGTGTGCCTGCCTAAACTCCCAAGAGACAGTGGAGAAGGACCTGCAGCTTGGCCATCCCCCCTGGGAGGGGGATTTCTCTCTTTTGTACACGTGCCCTATAATGAAAAAAGGGGGGAAAAATACCAGAACTCTGGTGGAACCCTAGTTCTCCTCATCTATTAATAATTTCAGGGGTTCAACTTTTTAAATTTTTTTTGAGAGGTTTTCGCTATAGGGCGCGTGCGCTTGCCAGACAGAGAGAGAGACATAGAGACAGAAAGCGAGAAATCACCCCCCAGGGGGGATGGTCATGCCGCAATCCCTTCTCCTCCATTCTCCTCTCGGGCTCTTGGGCACGCATGCACACGCGCCCGGCGTGAGTTTTAAGCCACCGAGTCCGGGACGCGAACCACGGTCAACTACGTGGGAGTCCAGCAACATAGCCATTACGCTAACTGCTGGTTCCCGAGGGGTTCAACTCTTAAGAAGTCTCCACTACTGCCTGTCTCAATGCCACCTGGGGCAACATGTGTATGCCATGTTATTCTAAGTTCTGTAGGAAAAACTTAACAGATCAAAGGCAGGCCTCCTGAGTCTCCTACCTTCCCCCAGGTCTTTACACATGCATGACACGTGCCTACGCTTTCCTGCCAGGCGGGCCTGCATCCCGGAATGCCAAGCATGTGAGATACACCAGTGACCCGTGCATGCACTACATGATCGCTTAGGTCACTGTCTAGCTACTTTCTTCTTTTTTTTGAGTTGGGGATTTACATCCATTTAGGACTCTTTTCCTTTTCTGAAGTACCCTTCGGGACATTCTCTGAGGAACAATTATTACCTCCATATACAGACAGTGAGAGTCTATTGGCCCCCTTAACCCCAAACTCTTCCCATTAGACCAGCCACCTGGACACAACCAGATCCTCCCCGGTGTCCAGGGTGGGGACACAAGAGGGGCTGACACATAGGGAGCAGCTACCTGGATATCCCGGAAAAAAAATGGCTTCAGAGACATGGTGGCATTCTCGGGGCAGTCGGCTTTTCGGTTAAGGATGGGAATGTGGGAGGTGTCGCGGGTGAGGGACTTGGGGTGAAAGTACTGGAGGGCTTTGTAGTCGTTGTGGATGGCGTGCCCCACCACGATCTTCCCTGTGAGTATCTTCAGGATCTGGAACAGGCATGTAAGAGGAGGTGGGGAGAGGAAGACTGCCAGGTGACACCCTTATACCCGGAAGTCCACTGGACCAACTGCCCATCTGCCTCATCCCTGAAACACCCTCTCCCACAAACCACCTTCCTCAGAAACCCACATTCTCTTCCCCAGGTGAAGGTCATGGTGCTACCCTGTTTGGAGTTGCATGGTCAGCGGCTCCTGACCTTCTCGATCATCTCCCCCCCAATGACAGATCGATTTGCCTTTGGCCCTAGCCACATGCTTGGTGTCCGTGCAACTGCCTGTTTGGCTCTAGTTTGCTACATGGAGTCTTTCATCATTACACTGCGACCCATGAGGCCAAAGACGGCCTCTGGGGAGGTAATAGGAACCTCAAATTATATGCAGAGGTGTGTGGCTACTATTGGGAAAAGGGAACCTATAGCTTACATCGGATTCTCAAAGGATCTACAAGCCATGAAAATGCATGAATCACTTACAGACTAAGGCTCCAGAAAGAATCTTAATCAAACTAGTCTGGGAACTAAATACTGGGTTGTTGAAAAAGTCATGGCATATTTTTCTGCTTTTCTATGCAAAAGTGCATCACAACTTTTTCAATGACCCAATAACTTTTTGTCCTTTAGTATCTTTTAAAAAAATAATGACTTAATTTTACTATTATTTTAATTTGACAAGAGGGAGAGAGGGAGAAAGCAAACTGCTAGGTCTGGGACTCAAACTGTGGTTGACCAGGTAGGAGTCCAGCACCTTAACCACACCACCACCTGCTGGC